ATACACCATCTATATATAAAACAAGAATGTTCCAAGTGATGATTGAATTGGATCTTCCTCTTACACGTAAACGAGTACATAATTAAGTTTTGGAATAATTAATACATGTTACCATCTCAAGCCATAAAACAATAAGAAACAACGGGTGCATAGTAGCAAAGGTCCCTGGATTTTACTCCATGTTTAATTTTCATCTCAAAATTCTCTATTAATTTCTCTCATCCTCCAACTTAACTATGTTTTATATCAGTAGTCCTTTCGTCAAATTTAAAGGTATAATCGTATTTTCATACAAAAAAAAAATCTAAATTATTTAAAAGTAGAATAGCTTGGCTCCTTAAGGTTAAAGAGGAGTTCGTCCTCAAAATACTTTGTGGCCTATTCAAAGAATTTCATGCTTATGATTGGAACCGTTCATATTATAGATCACTATGTAAAGATCATCTTTGCAAAAAATAAATTAAAACTAAGATCGTTTAGTCAATCCTTAAGGAATTCCGATCAGAAGCTCGAAGTTCTGTAAATAGATCACAAGGTATTTTAATGAGAATTTCCTCCTCAATCCTTGAGAAGCCAAGTCTCTCTCTCTCTCTCTCTTTTGTAACAAACCATATTATCTATACTAAGAGCAGTTCCACCGTGGGCAATAGCCCGGTGGACTGGCTCTCAACAGGGCGAGAAAGCCCGAGCAACTTGGTCCAGCGTGTGCTGGCGATGGAGACCGAGCAGGCCCGAGGGAGAGGCCCGGCAGGAGTTGCCAGCCAGAAGAGCATGTGCACAAGGCTAACGTCTGAGCGACGTCAACCACGTGGTGGACGGGCCTGGACAACTCTTCACGGAGGTTGATCTCGACGCCGATATCCCGGAGACGGAGGGTGAGCTTCTCGCCGATGCGGGTGACTCCACCACACCACTAGGCCTTCCCATTTCTTTATTCTCTCTCCTTTTCTTCCCAAAAAATCAACAATACAATTTCTTGAAGTTCATAGAGGGGGGAGAGAGAGAGAGAGAGAAAGAGATGGTGCGGATAGTTCCCATGACGTCTTCAATCAGACTCTTGTTTTCCACACTGAGGTTTGCCGGAGCCTTTCGCCTGAGTTTTTCCTTCACTCCTTCCCGGCGACTCGCTTGCTTCCAACTCGGCTTCAATGGTGGTTTACACTGTGATGGTCCGATGACGGATGCAACGGTATAGCTAGGATCCTTTAGTCCCAGAGATTAAGGTTTCATGGTTTTGGAGTTTTATTTGTTTAATTTTCGAAGAGGAAAGTGGGTGAGAGCTCTCGGAAAGGGAAAACAATGAGGAAGAGGGGAGTGAGAGAGTGGGAAGGAAGAAGAAAACAAAAATGGTAGAAGTTTCGGGAAGAGATTGGAAAAGATAAATTAATAATACAATATTAATTATAAATAAAAAAAATACTAATATTTTATTGCCTATTGTCAGGGCTATTGAAGTGCAATGATGGAGATGCAAAAGGCGGTTACTGTTCATTAAAGGCAGTTACTGTTCAATGGGTGGATAGCATAGTGTATTGCCTGGGGGGAAGGTTCCTACACTAGAACTGTTCCAAGGGGTAGGAGAGTGGACTAAGCCTCACAATGGACCAGCAATAATGTGGCTCAAAATTCGCCTTTGGCAAGAATCAAAACTAAGACTTCTCACTTACAAGTGAAGATAAATATCATTTAAACCGTAGTACTAAGTAGCAAGTCTTTCCCTCTAAAAACTTCATTTATTTTTTATTTTTTATTTTTTTGTGGATGAAATTCGTTTTTGTATTATTTTATTTTATGAAATTCCTATTTTATCTCTCAACTTAATGGAAAGGTTGACAAAGTTAATGAAAATGACTATGCAAGTGGCCCTTTACTACAGTGGTGCAAAAGAGTTGAGCCCCTACATGACGGCATGAGTTTGAACCCCGTCAATGGCTAATCTAATATCTAATCTAATAAAATATATCATTTGACAAAAAATAAAATAAAATAAAATAAATAACTACGATTGCATCAAATGACATAATTGATGGACGAGAAAAACTATTAGTAGAGTTCAGGGACGAAAACTAAACACGTGATATAGATCAATGACCTTTGCTACAATTTAGCCAGAAACAATTATTATATTTTTTTAAGAAGAAACAACTTGTTTAGGGATAACTATAATGGGGCGCCTTTAATTCACATGTTTTATTTCCCTAAAAGCAGATCACAAAAAACACTCTTTATCACTAATGTGACATTAATTTTCACTCTACAAATATTGTAATCGAAATTATTCACTCACTTATCATCTTTAAACAAAAAAAGTTCAATTGATTTGGAGATCGTTTAGTTTGTCATAAATCAAAGACGTGACAGTTTATGGTGATGCTACTTATTAGTGTAATCGTTGATTTGTTTGACATATGATAACTAAATAGTCTCTAAATCAAATAAATATTTCCGAAGGTGATCTTTTGATGATCATAAAAAAAAAAAATAACTATAATAATGACGTTTGTAAAGTAAAATGATGTCACTTTTCGAAATTAATGAGGACTTTCTTTTCTACAAAGAATGAGGGAAGTGAATATTATCCTTTCTTTTGGTTGAAAGGGAAGTATCCTTAAAACTAAGGAATCAAATTGGGAAAATTAAGAATATAAGGACAAAAACTGAAAACAAACAAAATATAGTGATAAAAAGTAGGATCCGACATCTTTTATCGAATAACAATAGTAGTTCACCGACGACCACAGGAACCACCAATATTATTTTATGACATGAAATTTTCTAAATTCACACGACGGGGAAAGAATGGAAACGGTCGTTGCAATTTTCTACAATATTAAATAAGAACAACAAAATAAAATGGTGTATTTGTTTAGCTTGGTTGGTTAGCCAGCCAGCAGGCTTAGTGCGCATACAAATTTCAAGTATTTATTTATTTATCAACGAGTGTAAGGCTGCTATCTCTAATTTAAAACTCAAGAGCTAAAAATTATAAAGCTACATTTTTTCTCCCTGACCATCTCTTTTAGACTCAAACCCTAGATCTACAAGTTTTAAGCTTAATACTCGTTATTTTGACAATTTTTCAATAACATATATAAAATTCACTTTTTCTATACGTATTTTTCACATACTATCCAGGAAATAAAATTAAATAATTATTTTAAATAAATCAAATACTAAAATTTAAAAATGGCCGAATTTTTAAATGTTTAGCAAAGTTTTCACGTACTATACTCTTACCTTATTTATATTTCTATTTAAAACAAAAACGCCAATAATTAAACTCAATATATTGAAAGACCTAATTCACATATACATCGTTTTATTTTCCACTAATTTGTATTGCTTTGTTAGTGCTTAATAACGTACTTCTTCATCAAAGCAAACAAGGAAGTAATTGCTTAATTAACTTATCATAAAGATTTGCTTTCGCAAAGCCCACAACCAGTAACAAAGTTGGAATTTTCCCCCACCGCAAGTTGTGTAAACTCATGTGTTGCAAATTAACCTGCTGCATGGAAGATTTACTCCAGCAATTGACAATTTGCCCCCCTCACGCACGTGATTGATTACTATTTCTTACAATAAATGCAATGCATGACCACATATCTAATCATATACATTAACAGTGGACAATCTTTGTGCACAATAAAGAAAAATGACTTTTCTTGACATTTACCATATGAAGTGGTAGTATTCCCAAATGGCCATTTGGTCAAGTAAAATTTAATCTTCATTTGTTGGAAAAGGTTATTAGTTCAAACCTCATACATGATAACAGTTCAATAAAAAACCAATAGAAAGCTGAAACTCAAGGCGAAAGGTTCGTTAATAAGATCATAAATACACAACTAAATATTTCATAAATTAGATATTTTTTCTTTTGGTGTTACTTGAACTGCCATAGTGTTACAATTCGACTCAAACTATAATAGGTATAATAATATACTTTAAAAGCGAGATATATCAACCATGCTCTTACTTATAACATGTGAAAAAGTACAACGGATAGCAAGTGTTTTAGATACATGTAGGAAAGTTCTCCAATGAGTCAATAACAATCACCCTAATCTATTACAACTTGAGCTACAGTTGATGTACACATATCTAACTAACTTTGACCTTTTAGAATTTATTGTAATGTTAATCTTGAGCATCTAATTCATTGAAGGCGGGACAAGAAAATAATTCAAATTAAGTTATGTCATATACACTCTTAATTAAGAGTACGAAGCCAATGCAAAAGTCAATCTATAATGTAATGTCATCCAGTTTCAAGCACACTATCCCGACTTTGGTTCAAGAAGCCAATATACCTCTAAATTATGTTCAACTTAATTCTCAATGTGTAATTTGAGTAATTTCCTGGATTAGGATGCGTGATCCAACAATATACCTCTAAAATTAAAAAAACGACTACAAATGATTAGACTATATTAATATATAACATGTTGCATTATTCTACATATATTATTAATTATTCCACGCACGCAACTGCAAATAGAAAGCACCACTTGTAAATTAGGAGAACATATATAGCACACGTATATTGTTATGGTGACGTTTTAAAAGGGTGACTCTTAGCCAACAAAGTTTTCTATTTTACGAGGGTTGGTGAGAAACGCCTATTGTACATAATCTTACCCTTGCTTTGTAATGAAACTGTTTCCACAATTCCAACTTGTGATCTTTTGGTCACAAATGAACAACATTTCTGTTGCGCCAAAGCTCACCTCATTTAATAAAATAAAATTATGTGAGTTTTAACTCACATATCCTTTTTTCATTAGCACAAGATATCACGTAATAATGTATTCGTGGTAGTCGTTCTCATGAATTAGCCTTCTTTTGTTGGCAGCACCCTTTTTTGATTATTCCCTCTCTCAACTTTCGTCTCTCTTGTAGTTGAAACATAGCTATACATATGGAGAAACATCTTCTCAATCAACGCAGACCAAGTTCATTTGCCCTCTCTCTCTCTCTCTCTCTCTCTCTCTCTCTCTCTCTCTCTCTCTCTAAAATGTCATTTGCATAAGGAAAAATATGGTATACTATCAGAGATACAAGCAGAGGAAAAAAGGTGAACATCTTACAGAAGAAGCTGATGAGTGTCAGAGCATTATTTTGGGGTGTTCAAACTCTGGTTACTACAAAAGAACAAGGCCCAAGCTTCTCTCTTTCGTCTTTCTCTCTCTCCTCTCTTGTAGCTTCATATTAGCACCTCATCTTTTCTACCCTAATACCACTTTCTCTCTATTACGTAAGATTTTCTCTCTAGTTTCTCATTTTCATTTTTCATTTTTCTTTCAGTTTCCTTTAATTGTATGCTGAGATTATATAATACCCATATGTAAACCCTAGCTTGTACCCAGATTATATAGAACCCCATGCGTAAACCCTAGCTTATATAGTACCCGGTTGGGTCTCTTCACCTATATGCACTTTATTTTAGTTGGATGTTCTAACTCTTTCATGGTATGAGAACCAAGCTAACCACGTATCAAACCATCAGTTTATTAGAATAGTGTTTTCACATGCATGAAGTGGCCTTATCCCCTCTCCCCGTCTTCAAGTACCCTTTTTCGATACATGGTATAGTCATTGAAAATCAAATGATTTTCGGATTATTCAACTCTGTTTGTGTTGTTCATGCTACTGGCTTGAAAATTCACCACACGTTAGGGAATGTGTTAAGAATGAATATCACGTTAATGAGAGAAGAGACCTTAGATGAGCTTATAAATAAGTTGGGTTACTGATCCTCATATTATCAATTGATTTTGTGGTGAAACCTCAAATTGCTTCAACACTTCGCCTTTCAAAACATCCACAATATTTTTGAGTTATCTCACATAGTGAAAAGTAAACCATGCACAATAATATAGATAGACTCTGTATCTATTGCTGATTGAATTTAAGTTGAATGCTCTATTTTTTTTTTCACTATATTCACGACTAAATATGTACCCTTTGCTTTTGTAGGCCTTGCTGCTGACGATGTGGTTGCATATGCTTCCTCGAGTTCTTCAATATCTAACGGTAGAATTCTCTGCTTCTCAGTGGCTTCTATTTGTAATCGATTAATTGTTTGTGTTTTAGTTGTTAATAAATACCTTGCAAAGTTTACCAAACAGTTTACTATCTATTTAGTGTACTGCTGCTATAAGGTTTGCTATTTGATTGATAAGTTCTACGGGAGGGGTCCTTAAGCCAAATAAAAGGAATTAAAAAATAATAGTTACAAGTATAATTAATTGGAGAATAACCAATGGTATTTTTTGTTGTTTTGATTGTCAATGAAAATTTTAACCAAATTAACAACACTAATGAAACTTTAAAATTTGTATGAAAAATTTAGTATTGAGATGATTATATATAAGAATAGAGCTTGTTTACGAGCTTTAATAAAAAAAGGATTAATGTGTTAGATTCGAACAAAAATTTAAAGTCATGATTAGCTCAAAACTATTACTCTGAGATTTTTCAATCAGCATAATTAGATTTTCCTATCGATTATATAAATCTTGTTTTATATTAACTGACAAAATAAAGAGGAATTGGTTTGAAAAAATCGTTGGCATCAGAAGGCTTATATAGCAAAATAGAAGGCTGGTTATAAGGCTTAGATGGTAAGAAGATTAGAAAATTGTTAGCATAAACAAGTCTTGAATTGATCATGACTTGCTAGTAACTAAACTACACTCCACCTATGAAGTATATACTCTGTATTGTATAAACTAGCAGACAACAAATAAATGGCTGAAATTTCAGGTGGACACTAGCCTATTTTGGCCTTCATGTCGCTCGTCCCTCGGTTCCGATGATACTCGAATTGATACTGCAAAAACAATAAAATACAGAACTATTATTGTTATTTAAAAAATATTATTCTACATTAATTTTTTCTTGTATATTTTTTCCTTATGTTTTCATAGATGACGAGTGCAAGACAATATTTTTTTTACTGATAACAACTCCTAGTCAAACAACGTAAAAATATAACATAAAAACAATAATGATAATATTCCTGAAATTCAAAATTAGTTTTTAATCTGTTCTAGTCTTTTCAACAAGCAAGCTGGGTCTGCTATTTCTCTTTCCTTGTGGAACTCATACAGGGTGAATGGTCAATTCGAACCCGGACCCTAAGTTCTAATTAATCTAATTAATTTAGTCAATATATGGTTAATTCAGCTCCAGTTGAACCGCCACAATTTTATATCGTCCTTGGATCATCAGGTTGAAGTCAAATGAATGGAGCTGCAAGTTAAGAATGCTTGCTTGTTGAACCCCGCAACCACTTAAAAATTTGTGATAAATATGATTAGGATAAATATGATTTATGTATTCCTAATTTTCTAAGTTTTGATAGACCGAAAGCCAAATCTAATTATTATGTCACTTATAACGGTAGTCTAATGGTATATTTTTCTACTTATTATAAGTGAAAGATTTTAGATTCGATCCTAAACTGATACTAAATTATTGTGGATGACCCAGTTGTATCGCTTCACCCAAATATCCAAACTTTTAGCGTAAATAATATTGATGTTTTAAAAGTTAATTGAGTACACTTATTTTCTGTACATGACACTTTTACATTTTCTCTATCTGCAATTACTTTCACTAACTATATATGTTGTGAGTGCAGGAACTATATTTTGTGACAGGAGCAGTTTTCGATCAGATGTTTGTATCCTGAAAGGGGATGTAAGAACACACTCCGGTTCCTCTTCCATCTTTGTCTACAGATCCAGAGATAAAAGTAATTTCACAAACTATCCATCGAGCATCGTCGAGGAAAACGAAGAGGAAAATGGGGAACAGCTTCACCGCGAAAAGATCAAACCGTATACCCGGAAATGGGAACCAAGTACCATGGACACCGTCACAGAATTAGGCCTCGTTGCAAAGACAGATGGCACTCCAGGAAAGCAACATGAGTGTGATGTCCAACATGAGGTTCCGGCCGTATTCTTCTCAACGGCGGGCTATACCGGTAATGTTTATCATGAATTCAACGATGGTATTATGCCGTTGTACATTACTTCTCGGCATTTGAGGAAACAGGTTGTGTTTGTCATCGTTGATTTTCACAATTGGTGGCTTATGAAATATGGAGACATTCTTTCACAACTGTCAGACCATCCAGTAATTGATTTCAGTGCAGACAAGAGAACTCATTGCTTTCCTGAAGCTACTGTCGGTCTGCAAATTCACGATGAGCTCACTGTGGATTCTTCAAATATGGAAGGAAATAAGAGCATTTTCGACTTTCGAAATCTTCTGGACGGGGCTTACAGGACTCGAGTTACAAGTCTGATTCACGAACGAGAAGCAACAAAGAAACTCTCCGTTTCTCTGTCTCCCGCATCGAAAAGACCCTTAAAAATCAAGAGAAAAGTACATGAAGCACAACAACTCAAGAGGCCTAGACTAGTGATCATATCTAGAAATGGATCAAGAGCAATAACCAATGAGCATTTGCTGGTGAAAATGGCTGAAAAAATCGGGTTTGAAGTTGAAGTTCTGAGACCTAATTCGAGGTCCGAGTTGGCAAAGATTTATTGGGTTCTTAATTCGAGTGATGTCGTGATCGGGGTTCACGGTGCTGCCATGACACATTTTCTGTTCATGAGACCTGGCTCTGTGTTGATCCAAGTTATTCCTCTTGGAACTAGTTGGGCAGCAGAGGAATACTATGGGAAACCTGCAAGAAAGCTTGGGTTAAACTACATCGGCTACAAAATTCTTGCCACAGAAAGCTCGTTACACAACAAGTATGGTAAAGATGATCCTGTTCTTAAAAATCCAGCTAGTGTAACAAAAAAAGGATGGGAATACACAAAGGAGATTTACCTTGAAGGTCAAACTGTGAGACTACACCTCACAAGATTTAAGAAGCAGTTGCTTCGTGCTTATGACTGCGCAATTGGAAGAACGACCTGGCATTTCGAACAACAATAAACTAGTCATTCTGGAAGTTGTAGATTCGTACATGTTTGATAAAAATTTGTGTACATGTATATAACGTCGAGATTTAAGGATTAAAGAAGGCGCCGTAAAAAAATTGTAAATACCCTGAAGTTTGAGGCAACTCTTCATTCATGTGAATAAAAATTTCTCCTACGACCTTGTTATTTATTTGTACTGTGTTTAAGAGAACCCTTTTGTTGATCCAGAATACAGCTACTTCTCCGCTGCTGGTTGTTTCTTTGGCGTAACGCCCTCAGTGTATGATCGACTAAAATATTTCCGTTCCTCCATATCCCCTGAACGATCCACCCTCCATCAGATGACGATCTCCCAGGTCCTGATGATCTAAATATCCTCTGCATTCTTACGATTAAATTTATTTTGATCCACCTCCACTGTCACTGACGTCTTCCTATCTTTCAGTCCTGCTTCGCCACACTGATCGTAAACTGCTCTTTCCTGAGATCACACAAGAACTGAATTCAGAAATACGTTTCATTCTTTTATTTTTCATGCAGTACAACTGTGAATGTACAAAATCAGTGAAACTTTAGAACAATGTAAAATGTTAAGTGCTTGGACATTTGAAAAAGCATAGACAATATTCCAAAAATAATATAATATACTTCTATTCTTAAGTCTTGGTTATGAGAATTGACAGAATTGACAAATATCCTTTTCTCCCTTCTAATTGTTAAGGCGCGTTTGGATAAGGGTGAACTTGGATTTGGAGTTGGGTTTTGTATTTGACTATGTGAGCGACATTTCCAAGATTGACATCGACAGAATGTAAGTGAATAGACTTGCTCAACATAAGAAGGCGCAGCTAGTATTGGACAATGTGAACACGTTGATTTTTTGAAGATTTAGAGAGGTGGGTTGTTCTAGAAAATGGGGAAGAACGAACCTGTCAACCTAGAGAGTAGGGGTTTTTCTTTTCTTTAGTCTTAGATGTCATTTTACAAGAGAGTAACTTTGGTATTAAATTTTGAGTGCAACTATTACCATCCCTCTATCTCATTTCTACACCTACTCTTTATTAAAAAGTTTAATTACCAATTTATCCTCACGTAAAATGTCAAATAAGGACTAAGGGAAACAAGATTAGATCGTTCACTTCCACCCACACTCCCAGCAACTCGTAATCTCAATTCCCAAACATCTCGTCGTCACTTTATTCCTTCTAAATTTTAATTTATGTTTATTGGATCCTAAATTATTGAATCACGAATTGATCTTTGTATTCGTCGAGCTCGTCGTAGTTCAAATCCCAAACACATTGAATGCATCAAGCCATATATGGATGTCATCGGAGTTTCTTTCTCTGCCGATTTCACTTCTTATTCTTTTGGCTTTGATTCTATTATTGGTTAAGTGACTGACTATTCGTTCTATTGTTGCATCACCTATGTGGTCAACCATGGGGATAGTTGGGATGGTGGTAAAAAGTGCAGAAGGGTGGTCGCTGTTTTACTTCCCTCTATTTCAATCATATAAATATAATCATTTTCCTTATATTAAAATATTATTTAAATAATTAAAAAATAGATGGGAGAACATGCTAGAGAAGCAATATGGATGTCAAGGGGTATGTTGTGCTTCTCATCAGTCAGTAATGGCTATGGGAAGGGGTAGGTTGTGCTGGTGAACGGTGTCAAGGGTGGAGATTGGAAGGGTACTTTGGGGATAATGGTGGGTGGGAAGATAGTAGGTTATTTTTCTTATTTTTTATGGTGGGTGAGATCGTAACGTGGGTGTAAACATAGGACAATGGGGTGGGTCTAGTAACACTCTAAATTTTCTATTAAAAGGTGGATGGGGAAATAAGACCGTGAGGTGGGTTTATCACCACTCTTGATTAATTGTGTTTAAACTTTATTTATTCTCTTTCCACTAATGCTCCTATTTAAAACCCATTTGCCAATTAAATCATTAAATTATCCACCTAAATTAGACTCTAATTATTTTATAATTAATACTATTTTTTTTATACAAGTTTCATTTTTTTTTTCACTCGCTTTTTTATTTTATTTTCTATCTGGTTTTACGTACTCTTATTTTGATGTTTGATTTTATGCCCTTCTCAAGAAAAACAGTACATTGCCCAGACAAAAATTCATCTTCACTACCATCGTCATTGGCATTATTTAGGCTATTTAGATACATACAAGAGGTGGTGGTGTTAAAGAACGGACTATAAGAGGTAGTGGTATTGAAGAACAGCTTGATCGTGCTTTTGATGCCTCTTTGAGATGTTTTTTCCTGGAGACTAAAGTCACTCACCTAAAATCCAGGAAGTCTGATCTTGTCCCTTTCCTAATTGCGCTGCATAAAGCAACCCCAAGACGTTCCCATCATTTGTTTTGGTTCGAGGAAATGTGGGTGCATCATGAGGAGTGTGAGGATGTAGTGCGTAAGGCTTGAGACCTGAATGTTTAGGCTATCCAATGTTCCAGGTTTGTGAGAAGATCAAGGCCATGAAAGTGGCTCTTATTAAATGGCAATGGCATACTTTCAAGGCTCGACAATTGGAGATTAAGAAGGTTCGTGATCAAATTATGGCCATTGATGGGCAGCTTTATATTGCTAGCTCTATTGAGGAACAGAGTAGTCTGATGCATCAATTCGAGTCTCTGTTGTCTCTGGAAGAATCATATTGGAAGTAGCAGGCTAAAGTGACATGGATGAAATCAAGCGACCGAAACACTAGGTACTTCCATTAAAGGGCGAATTTTCGAAAAAATCATCTCTCTGACCCGGTGGATAAAAATGGTGTGTGGCAGACCAGTGATGGGTGTGGAAAATGTAGTTATTGACTATTTCAACTCTATTTTTCAAACCAATGATCAAGGCTTGGGAAATGAAGTAATTGATGTATTGATTGTAAGGTTACCCCTGCGATGCATTCGGTGCTTAATTGCAGCTTTAACCCGAAGAAGGTACGGGAGTTTTTATTCCAAATGCATCCATCTAAATCTCTGAGACCTGATGGATTGTCCCCTCTCTTATTCCAAAGATATAGGTCCATTGTGGGCAATGATGTGTCAAATGTGGTGATTTTTATTCTTTCTTCAGGCCATATACTAAGGAAGATCAGCTATATATATGTGACCCTTATTCTGAAACCGAAGAATCCTTGGGAAATGGATCACTTGCGTCTTATAAGCTTGTGTAATGTGGTCTATAAGATCATTTCGAAGGTTATAGCAAACAGATTGAAGGTCGTTCTACCCCAAACTATCTCTCCAAACCAAAGAGCGACTTCTTTGTTTGATAAGAGAAGGGGGAAGAAAGGTTTTTTTTTCTTTCCCCGTAAACTCAATATGAGCAAGGCCTATGATCGAGTTGAATAGGGTTATTTGGAGAGGGTGATGGTGAAAATGGGATTTGAAAGGTTTTGGGTTAATGTAATCATGATGTGTGTTACGTCGGTATCCTACTCTTTCATGGTAAATAGATCTCCGTGTGTTTACTTTCATTCAAAGAAGGGTTTGAGGTAGGGAGACCCCATATCCCCTACATTTTCCTTCTTTGCCTCGAGGGACTCTCTATGCTTATTGCTTCCAATGATCGAGGTGGTGATATCCAGGGGGTCTCTATTTGTCAGGGGGCTTTTTCCATTCATCGTCTTTTGTTCAACGATGACAATTTCATCTTCGTTCGTGATACATGGCAAGGCTATGAGGTGGTTAAGGAGATCAATAGGTGTTTTGAATGAGTCTCGAGGCAACAAGTGAATTTCCAAAAAAGTTTGATCTGCTTTAGTAGAAATATTAAGCAATCTGATCAGGAGTTTCTAGCTTCAGTGTTTGGGATTGTAAGAGTGGATCAACATGAAAAGTATTTGGGGCTCCCTACCTTCATCGGTTGAAATAGAGGAGATTGTTTTAGTCACTTCAAAGAAAGGCTATGGAAGAAACTGCAAGGATGGAAAGGTAAAACAATTAGTGCAGTGGAGAAAGAATTACTAGTCAAAATGGTGGCACAATTGATCTCGCTTTATTTTATGAGCTGTTATCTATTACCCAAGTATTTCTGTGACGAACTAAGCCAAATAGTTGCTTCTTATTGGTGGAATTAATCTGAGACCTCTAGGAAAGTTAATTGGATGGCTTAGGATAAGCTGTGCTTGCTCAAAAACGAGGGGTGCCTTGGGTTTCATAATTTATACGCTTTTAATTTTGGAATTTTGGCCAAGCAGGGGTGGCAGATCATCCAAGAGCCCACTTCTCTGGTGGCGTTGGTGTTAAAGGCAAAATATTTCCCTCATTCCTCCTTCCTTAAGGCAAGTGTTCGGTCTAATGCTTCTTTTACATGGTGCAACATGTGTATTGCTAGAGAAGTTATCTTGCGGGGATCCAGGTGGCAAATAGGTGATGGTACCTCGGTAAGGGTGTGGGGTGTAAGATGCTTGCCTTTACCTCCACCTTTCAATTGTTTTCCCCCTAACCGCATGATTATAATGTGAATATGGCCAGTGAGCTTATTGTTGATGCTAGATGGAAATTAGATGTGCTTGGTCCATCAATTATAGTAGAGGAGATGGATGTAATTCGATCCATTTCGTTGAGCATTCGAAGAACTAATAACCGATTAATTTGGCATTATGACAACCGGGGTTTGTTAACTGTTAAAAGTGCTTATAATGTTGTTCGTAATTGGATCCTCCCCTTAGCTGCTTCCTCGTCGGGGTCTATTTCACAATACTCGATGTTGTGAGATTTCCTTTGGAAGGCCAATGTCCCTCCCAAAGTGAAAATGGCTCCTTGGAGAATTATCTCCAACATTATTCCTACATGGGATAACCTTCATAAACGACATATCCCGTTGGACCCTGCTTGTATTCTCTGTGGGGCTGTATTTGAGACGGTATGGCATATCATGATCGAATGCCCATTCACGAGGTGTACTTGGCTTGCATCTCCATTAAGGCTTAGACTTGGGCAGCATTATGGTAGATCTATGAAGGAGTGGGCCTTATCAATGATTAATGAAGTTAGATTATCGGATTTTGAGTGCATTCTTGTCATACTTTAGGCTATCTAGAATGCTAGAAATCTAAAGCTTTGGGGTGAAGCAATATCTCCTTCTCCAAGTGTTGTAGTGAAGCACGCCTTTGATTGGTGGCAGGGATACCTTAGGGTCAACTTCAAGCCCCTTTTGCCCCGGAGGAATGCTCTCATCCAAAAATGGTCTTGTCCTCCACCTGGAAGGCTCAAACTTAACGTGGATGGTGCTTAGTGCAAGAAGACTAAGATGGGAGGTGTTAGGTTAATATTCCGGGATTCAAATGGAACTTTTGTGGCTGCTGCGAGTTGGAGATTTAGGGATATTTTCTCTCCTATTCACATTGAAGCACTCGCAATTAAAAAAGGTTTTATTTTTATTTTTTTTATGACGATTTAAAGGGGTTTACAAAACATTTATGGTTCATTTTAGATCATTTCTGTTTTAAAGGATTTTTCTTTGAATATGTCTATTATCAGACCTATCGTTGAAGACACTAAATCCTTATTACACTTGGTCACTGAAGCTAATGCGTCCCATGTTTGCAATCAAGTTAACTCGGTTACCCATAGGCTTGCTCGTTTTGCTATCTATGGAGGTGATTGTACTTAGTTTGATGAAACCCCTTCATTGATTTGTGATTTAATTGAGGGGGATCTCCCCATTCCTTGTATTGAGTAGCTTATTCTTGGCTTTTAATGAAATCATATCATATTTTATCAAAAATAGGTACACACAAGTTCAAGATGATTACATGAATTCTAAATGCAATCTACAATCAGTAACATCGGGAAGATTAGCATCGTGATCAGCATCTACTGCCCAACTAGTAAACCATGTAATTGCATGGAATATTTCTTTGGTGATCTGCAACTCTATTAAATTAATATTTTTATCTGCAGGGAAGCCAATTTTATACAACCCATTTAATGATGAAAAGATATTGAAATAGAGATGATTGATTGTGTTGGTACATTCAGGGTTCGGGCCTAGTGATGATGGTAGTGCGTGGTGTAAAGTGATGGTGGTGGCAATGACATTGTTAAGAGGGCAGGGTGGAGGTGATGGAAGTTAGCGGTGCCAGTGGTAAGCAATGGTAATGGCGGTGTCCATGGTGGTGGTAGAAAGAATGACAACGATGATGGTAGTGAAGATGAGTTTTTGTCTAGGTAATATACTCTTTTTTTTAGGAAGGCCTAAAATCATATGTCAAAATAAGAGAACGTCAAATTAGATGGAAAATAAAATAAAAAAAGAGTCCAAAAAATGGAAACACATATAAAAAATAATATTAATAATAAAATAATTAGATTTGTCATAGTTAGGCGGATTATTTAATGGTTTAATTGACAAACGGGTTTTAATTAGGGGCATAAGTGGAAAGAGATTATTGAAAATTTAAACACAATATTGCATAAATTTTGGTGCAAGTTAAGTCCATGTGACATCCATTGAGTGAGAAAGGAAAATAAGGAAAGGTAGCTAGCATTACTCTATAAATTTATCATTTTATCACAAAATGCAGTTCCAATAAAAAAAATGACTAACTACATTTTTACACGTTCTAAGCATGAGTTGCTAATTTTCAAATTAAGTCATGAGGTTTAAATTTTCTCATTGCACCATAAAGTTTAAAACTTGATCAATATAGTGTAAACGCAGAATGTACGTTAGTGTATATAAGGGTATTACGTTGATTTCGCCCTTCCCCCTGCGCCCCCCGCCACCCCCCTCCCCAAACCCCCCCCCCCCCCCCCCCCCCCCCCCGCCACCCAAAAAACCCCCAAACTTGTAAGGAGTTATCACTCCCTAAAGTTTAATTTTAGCTAATTACCCTAAACTTTTATAATTGGTCAATTTTCCCCAAAACTTTAATATTGGCCAATTACACATCTAAACTTTTATAATTGCCAATTTATCTGGTTGTTGATTTTAAAATTTTTCATCCATTTTGGTCATGTGCACAATACATGGCATTTGCTTGAGCAAAAAGATAATTTTAACCCTGTTGTGGACAACATATTGTTTGTTTTTCTTCTTTTGTTCCACCAGTTCATTCCGTACACTTTTTATTCGAATTTTATCCCTAATGTGAACATTTCTGAATCTTCTCTATGGTCTTGCTCTTTCAACAACATGTTGGGGTTGTGAAGCTATTTCGTTAGGGAAAGTGGTATTCACACACTCATTTTTACCTACCGCACATCCTTGTTAATTTCTAGCTGTTGACTGTCTCCAATTCATTTGATCAGATGGTCAAAACTTAATAGGAGTGTGTGAGAAGTAAAAATGAGTAAGTGGATAGCACTACCCTTTCATTAGTGTTCCTTGTCACTTGACTTATATGACCATCTCGGTTCACCTATTTTAATTCAAGACTCAAATTCAAATAAGAATAGTAATTACTCATTTCAACATATCATTACTAGAAATTGACAATTTATAAAGTTCAGAGGGTAATTGACTATTAAAATTCAAGAGGAAATCTAGCCAATTATAAACATTCAGGAATTAATCAGTTTAAATTAAAATTCAACAAAAAATTGGCAGCTCTTAATGAACTCGGCAGAAAAATGGCTGACTTGTGTAGGGATTGGCTTGCCACTGGACTTCGTTGAGCGGCACTACAATCCACTCAAAACGCAGCACGTGACAAGTCTCAAATATAAGCTTTTATCATTCTTTTATATTTAAAATTCTCCTAATTATGTTTTCCTACTAATTAATATATACCATGATCAATCTAATGTTTCCATTTTTTTTTTTGTTTTATTAACACTCAAGATATTGATGAATACATGCCACATAAAAAATTATTATTAAATAACTTGTATACTCTTGTGTGACTGACTATTTGACCCCTATAAAAATTAAAATAAATAAATAGAAATATGAATACACCCCAAAATTATTTTCTACACATATCCTAATATTATTATTCTTCAGCCTTTTGTAAGAGATAAAAGTTTAAGCAGCTTCAGAAGTGATAACCTTGTTTTTAGGTTTGTGGGCTGGTGGTGTGAAACCATGCAAATTCTAAATAGACTCAGCCATTCGATTACAAATTCTAGATGTAATTCTACACAAGGTTTGCTAATTCAACTTTTTTTTTTTGGCCAGATGGCTTTGCTAATTTATCATGCTCAGTGTGCTGAATAGCTTGTATATAGATTCAGTCGTTTGAATTTCTTTAAAAAAAACGTAAGGTCTAAAACTTTACAATGGCATCAAGAGTAAAAAGAAATGACAAAGTTTAATCATTCACTTTCAGTTTGTAATTTTCAAACTTTGCAGTGTCAAGAAAAGCCATAACCTATAACTTCATCTCCTTTCAAGCTCGTTCAGTTTTCTGCAAAGAATGATGTTCATTTTCTCAACAAATTCTTTTGAAACAGAGGAATACAAAATATGAAATTGGGAGAGAGAGTGAAGACCCAAGGCAAAACATAAAGTGGAAGAAAATTTGGGAAATAAAAAAAAAAGGGGGAAAAGAACGAAAAAAAAGAAGAAACGTTATATTGATCCATGATATATATTAATTAGTAGAAAAATAATTATGAGAATTTTAAATAAAAATGATAAAATATTATATTTAAGACTTGCATCGTGATGAGCTTTGAGTGGATTATAGTGGCACTCAACGAAATTTAGTGACAAGCCAAGCCCTACACAAAATTTTCTCCATCCTCCGACTCAAAGACATAAAAAGTAAAACATAAAGTGATACAATTTCTAATTCAATACGTGTAAAATGAGAAAATTAATATGTATCCTGATATTCTTCCCAAATGGCGAGAAAAATTTGTGTGGGACTTGGTTTGCCACTAAACTTCACTGAGTGGCACTACAATCCACTCAAAACTCGCCACATAGCAAGTCTTAAATATAATCTTTTATCATTCTTTTATATTTAAAATTTTTATAATTAATTTTTAACTAATTAATATATTATATATATATATATATCAATGTTATGTTTCCTTTTTTTTTTCTTTCCCCCTATTTTTTTTCTTCCCAACCCATCCCCCCCCCCCCCCCAAAAAAAAACTTTGTTTTGCCGTAGGTCTTGGGTTTTAGTACTCCCTCCCATTTCTTTTTTCCCAGTTTTATTTCTTTCTTTCTTTAAAAAAAAAAAAATATAGTTATGCACCCACTCCAATTTTATCATGGAAAGCAACCAAGAATCTGTAAGTTTCTTTTATTTTTTATACAATAGTTGCTTTGATCATGTGACAAATACAGCAAATACAACGCAAATCAAATTGTACTTGTTAGTTCAAAATGTAGTATCAAAGCATAAAGCATCTCCAAAGCAATCATAGTCTAACCTTGACCTGTCATCTCTCCAAAAAAGGATTTGTCATCCAATTCAAGTGGTCCACTTGTATTGAATAGAAAAATTTGGAATCCTTTGCTTGCCTTTCCTTGAAATGATTAAACAAACTTTGTACATCTCCTCCTTCCATCGTGGGTCACGTGGGTTATTCATGTCACATGATCAAAGCAACTATTGTATAAAGAAATAAAAGAACTTTATAAATTCTTGGTTGTTTTCCATGATAAAATTAGAGTGGGTGCATAACTATTTTTTTTTTTTGTTAAAGAAAGAAACGAAAAAGAGGGAGAACAAAAAAAAAAAAAAAAGGAAACATAACATTAATATATTAATTAGTTAAAAAAATAATTATAAAAATTTTAAATATAAAAGAATGATAAAATATTATATTTAAGACTTATCATATGATGAATTTTAAGTGGATTGTAATGCTACTCGTGAAAGTTTAGCAACAAACCAAGCACCAGACAAGTTTTTCTCCCAATGGCTGCTGCGCCACGCGGTCATTTCACAACCCAGACGCCTCCCCCGTGACGCGCCCAATACAAAATACCATCACCTAACCCCCTTCATTTCACTACCTCTCGTCGCTCCCTTATATGTTTCTTCACTCCGACCGGCTCGTTCACCAGCAATCTCCTGTTCACAGTTTCACCAGAAGCTCACATTTTCCGGTACAAAACTAATCGCTGCTCCCCAAAATCTCCACTTTTCTCTTCTTACATTTCATATCGAAAATTCATCTCACTTTGATTTTACCTGTTTGTTTCGTATCGAGGGAAAAAGGAGGTCGGGAAGCTCTCGAAGCTTGGTGTATCCGGACATGGCTCCGCCGGTCCTGTCCTTGGTTCTGCCCTCTGAGACCGGTCGCGTTCTGAGTATTCAATCTCATACTGTCCAGGTATTCCCGATTCCGTTTGCTGATTTTTGGGTGAATTTTTTAGTGTGTTTGGTAGCTGAGAAAATGGAGAAGCTAGAAGCTTTATTAAGGCCTCGTTTGGCACGGCAGATGCATGAACAGGACTATAATATATCCTTGGACTGTACTCGAATCTCGTATAAAAGTTAAAAATATGGAACTTGATTGATTGGGTAGCTTTTGGCCCGGTGAAGTTTTGGGGTTTTTAGGAGTGGTTGTCGTTATTTAGTCAATCCTTGCTTGCATCTTGTTTTCTTGGAAATAATCTTATTCGTATGATTGAGGTAATGGAATGATGTATGGATTATATGGATAGATGCCCAAATTTGGAGTTGTTGGATTTGTCATAAGTTAGCGAAAAGACATTGTATTGTCCGTCCCATGTTCTAAATAGCTGAGCAGTGACTAGATTCTGATGAAGGTAATCATTTTTTTGTAAATCCTGCCCAAGTAGTTCATGCTTTATTCTCATCAGAAACATGGCTTATGTGTAAGTAAGTACTTGATGAGAAATCAAAAGTTCATTGTCTCCCTTCTTTGACGTGGACTAGCCATAATTACCTTCCCCGTGTATCTTTAACAAGTCTGAATTTTTAGTTGAGACTTTTTTTTTTATCAGTAAATATGCGTAGTGTTTGAGATTGGGTGAGGGATATCCACCTGTCTTTTGTAGATCATGTTTTGACCTTACATAGTTCTTCAACTTTTATTTCTTTTTAGGGATATGTTGGGAATAAGTCAGCTGTCTTTCCCCTGCAACTACTAGGCTACGATGTGGATCCAATTAATTCAGTCCAGTTCTCTAACCACACAGGCAAGCTACTTCTACTAAATTCCAACAGTCTCAGAATTCTGTGAACCTGTATAAAGTCAAACGTTGTGTCCTAGTTTTAATGGTGGTATGGTTCTGATTCAATCAATCTCAAAACATTGCAGGATACCCAACTTTTAAGGGTCAAGTTTTGAATGGACAGCAACTATGGGAATTGGTAGAAGGCCTTGAAGCAAATGAGTTATTATACTACACTCATCTATTAACAGGTATATTAAACTACTCATGGATTTGGCCTTTTGAATATCTTGTCTCAACTCCTGTATACCATGGTGAATGTGTTGTGCTGACCTTTTCCATTCGAAGAAAGGTAATAATGGTAAAGCTGAATCCTTAGGGATAAGATGGTGGTTGGCTCATTGGTGGTAGCATACCAAGATATATCTGCAAGAATGTAGCATGATCTTGACCTGGATCACGGATTAAAATGACATAAAACATGCTTCCAAAAAATCTGAAAGAAATCATTCTTCTAGATATTAATGAAAGAAACAACCATTAATGCCTCTCATATTATTCTGCTGTCACCAAGCATATTAACTTTCCTCATTCTTTCTTTGTTTCAGTGATATTTTTTCTTCTGTATTTTTAGAATAAGTTGATGCCATCTTCATGTTTAGAGTCACATAAAACATCTATGTCCTGTTTTTCCTTTTCTTCCCTGTTGGATTGTAATATTCTTTGAAAGACTTCACATAGTAATTTTTATGACTTGCTCAGGAGAGCTTACATAATTTTTATTACTTTCCTAGATTTATGTGGCTTTGATCCATTGATGTCTTTGCAGGTTATATTGGTTCAGTTTCGTTTTTGAACACTGTGTTGAAGGTTGTCAATAAGCTTCGCTCTGTAAACCCAAAACTTAAATATGGTGAGTGGATCATTGAATACTTCATCAATCCTTGCCAATCATCAAATATGGTGTGATACATATATACTATCCTTGGTATAGCTGGGAATTTAAGCATCTGAAATTGCTATTCTAACCTCTACTAGGGCTTCTCCTTCATGCTTTCCGACCTGTATGGTTAACTTATACATATGCTTATTATTCTCTTTGCTTTGACGTACTTGTTATATGATGCAATACCTGGTGTATGTTCAAATCTTTAGATTATTGCTTAAAATTGTTAAAAAATTCAAGATACTCTCATAGTTAGTATTTGTTGGACGAATTAAACCGTATGTTGTTTATGGGACAACAAGGTAAGTTCTTCTTGCTCACTTTTAAATTAATAATTAAGTCATCTAAGAGTTCAAAAAAATCCTACAACTTATCTTTCAATTAAATTCATTGGTTTTACACTTCCATAAACCATGCGTGAATTGGTTGGGATATAAAAAGAATATTTTTGGAAAGCAGAGTTCTGAAACCTATTGATTACGGGTAAACTCTGTTTGTTCTTTCACTCAAGTGGTATGGAAGCAGTGCATTCCATTTTTATTATCTTTAATTTGAGGTAACAGTTGAATGTGATTTTTCATCCTTCTCTCTATATAAAAAGAATAGAAAACTTTTTTTTGTCTCTATTGTAACATAATTCTTGCTTTCCTTCCCCAGTCTGTGATCCAGTGATGGGTGATGAAGGAAAGCTCTATGTCCCTCAAGAGCTGGTAGCAGTATATCGGGAGAAGGTAAGCACTAAGCAGTTTGACCTGCCTATGGGTGCATGTTCATAGCATGTCATGGTCTTTGCATATATTAGGTTACATAGATGTATTTATTTATTTGGATGTTACTGGTTTGTCAGCTACTCAGACTTTAATAAATGTCAAACCAATATCTAATACAATCTGTTTTGTGTTTGTGTAAGATCGGTATCATTTATAACTTTCCTAAGCATTTAGTCTTGAATTTTTTGCCGATCCAGTAGTTATCTTCATAAAAAGTTAATGTTTGATAATTATGTTGATATAGTGGGTTGACAATGAAATTGGTTTAGTAGCTGTTTTCTTATTATGCATTTTTATAAGGTTGTCCCAGTGGCTTCAATGTTGACTCCCAACCAGTTTGAAGCAGAACTCTTGACTAACTCGAGGTATTTGTTTATACTACATTATAATTAGTAAATCAACATTGCTCCCTGTAGTTAAACATCTGATGTTTCTTGGGTGTAACTGCTTTTTTCTCATTTAGTCTCTTTCGTAAGTAGTAGGTGATACTTATTCTGTAACAGGATTGAATCTGAAAAAGATGGTCGTGAAGCTTGTAACCTTCTTCATGCTGCGGGACCGTCAATGGTACTATTTTTTAGCAAACTTGCTAATATTTTATATTTTACTGCACATGTCCTGGAGTGTTTCACTTCATGTTAATGTGAATAATTTTGTTATGGTCATGTTTTATTTTTCCCCAATCTCTATATCCTCCAAAACTATCTTTGAATCGTTGGTTATATTTTCATTCTGGGATTGTGAGATCTAGATGGGTTTTTGTACAAACGGTCAGCTACCGCTATTCGGTATCTAACTGTCTTGCAAATTGGTTAAGTGATTTGTATCTGTTTTCTTAGAGACAGAAATATAGAGACCATAAATGATGGCACTGCAAATGGTCCAGTGCTCTTGGATCAACAGGATATTTTATGTCTGGCTTATTGTACTGGTGCAGTGCATTAATTCAAATTCACAATGCATATAGCCGTATACATGGACACCTTTGGTATTTCTTAGCAAATTCATGTGATTAATTTGTTAAGGATATTTTCAAACCAATTCATTTTAGTTAATATATTGTGGATGGGTGGGTGTGTGGGGTGGGTGGGTTTGTTGTCTATGCAATTCGCCCTGGTAAAGATAAATAAGACCTCATTAGGGACTGAAGGTATCAGTCAGAAAATACAAAGGCTCCATCTGCAACTGCATATTTAATTATTTCCTTAAGCTTGTTAGGTAATTTATTTATACAACTCTCGGGTAAACCATCATCTCCGTTTATCTCATAGAAGCCAAGTAAGCATGCTGTACATGTTATAGGGTATATAATGTGATGATTATAGCCTTCTTAGAAGTTTACACCTTTTGGAGTGCTCTTCTTAAGTGGCTTCTAATCGAGGGACCCAGAAATTTGCTTCTGATATATGGTTCAATAAACAAAACACATCTGAACCCAACCTACTATTTCTTTAGGTGGACAATTACAATGATCCACGTGACTCAACTGATCCGCCATTCTTTCTGAATAGATGGTTGGATTTTGGTACCCAAAGAACCTCATAATAATGGCATGCTGTTTAGGGAATATGCTTGACACCTGCTGCATCCAACTGGTGATTGTCTCCTACTAAAGGAGACTGAAGTGTAAATCCTATACGAAAACACTTACAAGAAATTTTCTAAAAACAAGCTCACGTGAAAAAAAAGAAGAGAAATTCTACATCAGATGGGTATAAATGGGATCCATATGCTGAATATGAGGGGTTTAAGACATTGCCAAATTTGTGTAAAGTATAGCCTGACTCATTTGTAGTTATTTTCCCACTATTTTTAATTTAGTTATTCTAACTCATGGAAAGGCCGAAAATGGTGGAAATTTCAAATTTCTTGATTGTGCACTTTCAATCGATGTTACATCTCTCTCTCTCTCTCTCTCTCTTCTCTAAGTAGTATTTGTTGAAGGGAAAAATTTCTCATGAAAACATTACATGCTTATTGTACCCTTTTCTTTGCTCTTCTATTTGATGTTACATCTGTTTTGCTTATTGTATATGTGTAAACTTTTTTGTGAAATTCTTTTAATTGTTCCATCTCACTTTCTCTGATTCATTTGTAGTATAATGCTCATTTGATATATTGCAGGTTGTGGTAACAAGCATAAATATAAATGGTAATCTTCTTCTGATTGGTAGTCATCAAAAGGAAAAGGTGAGATCTTGTCTACAAATGAAGTTATTCTTCAGGTTTTGGATCTATATATTATTTTCTTTTATGCTAGAAGCTTCTGAGTGTTTTCTTCACTATAGTCGCTTTTTAGACAATCAAATAAATTCTAACTTTATTGTAATTCATGCCAAGATTTCTTTTGACATGATAGAATGATGTTTGACTCAATTACTAAATCCATGATGTAGGGTCTGCCTGCCAAGCAATTCAAGATAGTGATTCCTAAAATTCCTGCATACTTTACGGTATGAAAATTTCCTTTTTAAGTTTTCATCTGCAAGGCTTTATACATTGCATAGTTTGACTACTCGCAAAATGCTTGTGGGATATCCTTCATTGTATTGTCGAATGTTATGATGAACTGATATTAGAAGTTCTAATTTAGAACATTACATTTTTAGTTAATTCAGTGTCTCGTAATTTTTGCTTTTTGTTAATTTGAACCATTTATTAAACTCTCGCAATCCCATACCTGCTATGCATGTGGGACAAAACTATGGAAGTGGGGTGCAAAAAAAATGTGGAAGGATTTATTTATTTTGAAATTTTAGATCAGTATAATTACTATTTAATCCTTATTATGCAAATGTTTCTTATTGTAAGTAAGGGTAACAAAGGAAAAAGGGGACATGGTTGGTATTTTTAGAAAGAGGTTGACAAGCAAAGCCTGCTTCTCTTAATAAAGTATTGATTTTACTTTATAATTATATAACAGCATTTAGAACATGCTCTGCAGTCTGCCCTTTTATTCCATGAATTGTACAGTATGACTTACTAATCGTCTAATTGGATTGTATGCAGTCAGCTTAGTGCTACTTTTCCAATTAAATATTCTCACTTACCTGCTTGATTACTGGACACCTGGATGGCATCTCATTTGAAGAAAAAATGGATATCTGGAGATGCCTGATTTTATGTGTTTAGCATGTTGCTAGGTTGCTTTTTTCAACTCTTTTACCTGATACAAATCAGGATATGTTGTGCCAATTCCCAAACTGTATTTATGTTTTAATTTAACTCAAGGTTTGTGCCAACTTCCTTCTTTACTCTACCAGCAATTGGATCACTTCATACAATGTCTATTGTTTACCAAATTTCTGTACAATTACTCAGTCAAAGTTATATATATAATTTAAATGTTTAGAAATACTATCTTATACAATATAGATGGAAAAGTTGGAAATACTGGACCAACTTTTATTTTCTTTTTTCTTTATGAAAAGATTTTGGATCAACTTGAAGTTTGACGTGCAAGGTGACAATAGTTAGAGCATCAAATTACCTGTTGTTATCGAGTTTATCGTAAAAGTAGATGTTTTATTCAAGCTTATTAGTTTTTACAGTTTGGTTCATAAGATCCTGTAGATTGACAATTATATGCATGAACTTTGTAGGGAACAGGAGATCTCACGACTGCACTTCTCCTTGGGTGGAGCAATGTAATTCCTTTAAAACCGTATTTTTTTATTCGACTCCTATCTCTACTTGGCCAATAAAGCTCCATGTCTATAAATGGTTATTTTTTTTGTTTTCCAGAAATATCCTGACAACCTAGAGAAGGCAGCTGAGCTTGCTGTATCATCCTTGCAGGTATTCCTTGTGGCCCCAATTTTTTATTTTGTTGATTCCTGGAGTTTTTTTGTCGTGTGGAAGTATTCTGAATGGCATAAAGCATTATTTGCAATTTCCCCTTTGATTTGAAGTAGGATGTACAAAGTGCCTATAGCCACTAATCAAAAGATAGATGAATCAATAAAATGAAAAAGAATACAAAAGCATTGAGTAAAAGCACCAATTTTGGATTTCTTCCGGTGGAGCGTTCTGTTTGACACTTGAAAGATACCAATATATGTAGAGCATGATTGAACTATGGCAGTAAACTATCTACTGAATTCTTTTATTATAGCTTTTATTAAGGAATATAATAAAAAGTGAAATGCTCAACTTGATGCTCACACTGTTTTAGAGATATCAATACATATAGAGACCATAATCTAATGTACCAGGTAGCTTCAGGAGAGGGAAATGGGCAATATTGGTCGTCACACGCTGTATTTAATTTCAAGGATCCGAACTGTCTACTTTTCAATTCGTGGTTCGTAGATAATCCTTGCTATATATGGTCAAATCGGAAATGATTTTGTGACCAAAGAAAATGATAAACACTGAAATTTCTTGATGAGAATCAAATAGCTAAATAGTTTCCTTTCGCAAGGATGATCTATGAATGGATACTTAAAATTTGGACGGTTTGGATCGTCCAAAACAATGCATAATGGGCACACAAGACACATCCTGGCTATGAATATACGAGTATAATTGAATAAAACTGCTTGACTTGGGATCATGGCTGTTTATAACCACATAATTAATTTTATGAAATTGATTTACTTTATGATGCTTGGAAAACTACTACATTTCCTGCCAGTATCAATCATTCATGGTATAGCACGGCATTTAGACGAGGTGGTTGTAACTGGTAAGTGAAATGCCTGGTAAGGTAGATAACTAGATACCTCCTGGCTGTTAGCGTAGCAAATATTCTTTGAAAAATAATTTGATTTAACCAAGGAAAAGATGAATTTTTGGAGGTCTGGGAATGACTAGAAATAATGGGTGATTGTTGTCACGGATCCCCTTCATTGAAAACCATGGCTGACAGGTTTCGTGTTTACAATCTATACTTGCAGGCTCTTCTGCAAAGGACGATTAGTGACTATAAAAGTGCCGGCCATGATCCCAAGTCAACCAGTCTGGAGATTCGATTAATTCAAAGCCAGGACGACATTCGTAACCCGGAAATCAAATTTAGAGCTGAAAGATACACCTTAATGGTTTGATATATACTTGAAATGGTATACACAGTTACTTAGATCGTCATGAAAACTGTTAGGCAATGCTATGGTCATGGAAGTTGAATAAATTTCGTTGTCATCGGAATATGTACATGGTTTTTGACACTTGCAAAAAATGGTTTAGTATTACCCAAAAGAAATAGTTGAAGAATTGTTCAATGTCTTTGTTTTTCTATTTGCCTGTGCAATTTTGCAACAGTAAAGACAGCAAATTTCATAAATTTGAAAAGGAATTTCAGTATTATTTGAAGTGAATTTTCCTTTACTCATGATCGTAGTTTTCAATGCTGATAGATTTAACAATTTTCCTCGCATTCTCATTTCCTCCTGCACATCATTGTATGATTTTGTCGTTGATTCTCTTTTTATTTATTTAATAGGTGTTTAAACTTTAAAGGGAGAAAAAATCTGTGCAGAAATGAAACCATTGTTGATTAAATCTGAAGTACGATGTTTTTTCCTTTTAGGAGCCTCGAGAGCAGGAGGGTAGCTTTATTGATTAAAACAATATTTGTTTTCAAAATGCAAAGCAAATAAAATAAGGAAAATTAATGAAAATGGTTTGAAAATTTTGAGTTTGAACGATAAGGACAGAATAAAGAGTAAAATGAATAGTATCAGGATTGATCTTTTAGTGTAAAAATGTGATTTTTCGTTAAAGCAAACAGTACCGGGAGCTTTTTGTTAAAGTTTCCAATAAAATAAGGTGGTGTTATTCACACATCTACTTTTATCTCACACATCCTGTTCAATTTTTGGTCGTTGGATCGAATAAATAAAAGAAGATCATTGAACAAAAATTAACATATGAGAAGTTAAATTGGGTGCGTGAATAACACTATCCTAATATTAACTAATTGTTGTAACAAAAACAATTTGTTATCTCACCAAAAAAAATAAAAGTTAGCTTGAAACCAACCATCCTGAAGTATAGGATATTCTAGGCATTTAAACTGTTAGCTCTTTGTTTAAAAATATAAGATTAATATTTCGTTGTTAAAATACTCGAAGCATCCCATACTGCAGAGCACCCTCTATTTTTGGCTTGAAAAATAGGGTGAATACCTAATCAATTAGCTACTAAGTAAGAAACCAATATTTGAGAAGTAAATCATTAACAGACACATAAATAGCAGCTAAGCAGTACAAGTGAGCTATTTATAGCTTTGATTGCACGCTAAGCTTACTGATGAACAGCCTTACACACCCATAGTTTGCTAACACCAACATGTTTATTTCAGACTTAAGTTATGGATAGATTTGTCTTGTTTCCTCTTTAGCTGGTTTGTTAGTTGTAAAATCAAGGTTGTTTTGTCCAATACTACGCTCACACCCCACACTATACGATACATATTATTGACTACATCCTACATCTACTTTCTAAATATAATTTATTTTACTACATATTTTCCAATACTACGCTCACAGCCCGCCGCCACCCCTCCCCACTCCTACTCTCTAGTCTCCACTCCACATCAAGATACTAGAACCCATTGCTTCCCTGAGGCCATTGTTGGTTTGAGAATTCATCATTAGCTGAGTGTGAACACCACTGATGGAGGGACATAAGAGCATTGTTGATTTCCGAAATCTTTTAGACCGAGCTTACCTCCCTCGAATCCGTATCCTAATCCATGAAGAGGAGGAACGAAAAGCGCAGGAGAAGCTCTTTGAGTCTACGTGCCACACATGGAAAATCCCCTTAAAAATGATGATGAAAGTGCAAGAAAAAGTACATCAACCCAAGAGGCCTAAACTTGCTATCATGTCTAGAAACGGATCGAAAGCAATAACGAATGAGAACTTGTTAGTCAAATGGCTGAGAAAATGGGGTTTCACGTCCAAGTTTTGAGGCCGAAGCGCACCGCAGAACTAGCAAAGATTTATCGGGTCCTGAATTCGACCGATGCCATGATCGGAGTTCATGGAGCTGCCGTGACACATTCTTGTTATGAGGCCTGGCTCGGGTTTTATCCAAATTAATCCAATTGCAACTGCATGGGCAGCTGAGGAATATTATGGTGCACCTGCAAAGAAGCTTGGTTTGAAGTACATTGGCTATGAAATTCTTACCACAGAGAGCTCACTGTATGATAAATATGAAATAGGTGATCCCATTCTTGCAGATCCAACAAGGGTGACAGAACAAGGATGGCAAATCACAAAGACGATTTATCTGCAAGGTCAAACCGTGAGATTGGATCTCATAAGGTTTAGGAAGCACTTGGTTGGTGCTAATTTAATCTCATCATTAACCATACTAATCCTGGATTGGACTTTTATGTAAAATATCATACATGTAGATGAATAATAATATAACAATCTTTCCACAGCATCTATGTATTTATCAAAGGGATCACCCTCACCAATGTCAATGGCTATGCTTTTATAAGAAGATGTTCATAATTGGCCGGATTTTATTTAGTCCAACGGTTGTTGTGAAATAAAATCTTTGGATGAACATGTCAATCAGATAAATGAATAAACATACGAGATTAAGATAAGAAAATCTAAATCAGCGGTTGATAAGTGATAAAATCTAACTTTGTTAGAATTTAATTTTGTTTTAGATTGAAGTGTTAAACAAAATTAAGATAACATGCCTAAAATTAACTTAAGAAAAGTTAACAAAAAAAAAAAAAACCATTATTTTGTACTACAGAAATAAATACCCACATAAATAAGTATATAGTCCCATATAGAGCCAGGAAAATATATAACCTCTATTGAAAGAGATTATTTTTGGAGCCTAAAAATTCAAGAGCTTTAAAATAGACTATATCCATAATTTTTTTTTTGGTTAAATTATATCCACAATTTTTGTAGCCTTGTATAGAATCCCTCATTAGAGATGCTCTAAGAAGCCTACAAATAGGTGCAATTAACGGTGCACCTAAAGTGCAATAATTATCTTACATAAAAGATACGGTAACAATCTGGCATGTAATGTTCGTTAACAATCTCTCACGTATAATTCAATAATAACATGCAGTAACAATTAGGCATAGAAGGTACATGCATAGTATCACACAAGGGTACATTTACAGTCTCGCACATATTGTACAGTATAGGTGAATGAAACCATAACATGAGAGATATTAATTTTGAATATCATGAACGACAAGCTCGATACAAATTTATTCTTCAACCATTTGTGTAAATATCATTATTTAAAAAAATGTTACAATTCCTAAACCATATTGTAACCAATAAATAAACCTTAATAGCAAATAAAACAAGTATTATTGTTACTACATACCTTAAGGTAACCATACAAATGTAAATACATTGTAATGATAGTCACCAACACTTGTAGTAATTGCGCTATTGACAGTATTTTAAGAAAAAAAATGCTAGTATCTTTCTCGTTTACCTTTTCATTTCAACTTTCTCACTTCACTTAAAGTCACGTGTATCCCCTAGTACTCAAAAATTAAAATTTTAATTATAATAAAATCTCATAATTTTTTTTTTGAGTAAATTGTAACAATGATCCCTTAATTTTAACTCAATTAGAGCAATGGTCCCTCAACTAAAAATCAATTATCATTGGTCCCTAAACTCATCAAAATGTGTAGCTATAGTCCTTCAACTAAAAATTCATTACCATTGTTTTCTCAACTTTAATTCAATTAGAAAAATGATTCCTCAACTTTAACTCAATTGGAGCAATGGTTCTTCAACTTTAACCCAGTTGTAGCAATGATCATTCCAATATAACTCATTTTGATAAGATTCTAAAGAAGTTGACAAAAAGGACCATAGCTACATGTTTTGATGAGTTGAAGGACTCCAATTGTAGCAATGGTCCTTCCTATATAACTTATTTCTCAGTTCACTTAAAGTCACGTGTATCCCCTAGTACTCAAAAACTAAAATTTTAATTATAATAAAATCTCACTCTTTTTTAGTAAATTGTAACAATGATCCCTTAATTCTAACTCAATTGGAGCAATAATCTCTCAACTAAAAATCAATTACCATTGGTCCCTCAACTCATCAAAATATGCAGCTATGGTCCTTTAACTAAAAATCCATTACCATTGGTCCCTCAACTTTAATTCAATTGAAAAAATGGTCCCTTAACTTTAACCCAATTAGAGCAATGGTACCTCAACTTTAACTCAGTTATAGCAATGATCATTCCAACATAACTCATTTTGACAAGATTCTAAAGAAGTTGATGAAAATGACCATAGCTACACATTTTGATGAGTTGAAGGACTCCAATTGTAGTAAGGGTCCTTCCTATATAATTTATTCCTCACTTCACTTAAAGTCACGTGTATCCCCTAGTACTCAAAAACTAAAATTTTAATTATAACAAAATGTCACTATTTTTTTTTAGTAAATTGTAACAATAGTCCCTTAACTTTAACTCAATTGGAGTAATGGTCCCTCAACTAAAAGTCAATTACCATTGGTCCCTCAACTCATCAAAATGTGCAACTATGGTTCTTCAACTAAAAATTCATTACCATTAGTCCCTCAACTTTAATTCAATTGGAGAAATAGTCCCTCAACTTTAATCCAATTGGAGCAATGGTTCCTCAACCATAACCCAGTTGTAGCAATGATCATTCTAACATAACTCATTTTGACAAGATTCTAAAAAAGTTGACGAAAAGGACAATAGCTACACGTTTTGATGAGTTGAAGGATTCCAATTGTAGTAAGGGTCCTTCCTATATAACTTATTTCTCACTTCACTTAAAGTCACGTGTATCCCCTAGTACTCAAAAACTAAAATTTTAATTATAATAAAATCTCACTATTTTTTTTTTGAGTAAATTGTAACAATGGTCCCTTAACATTAACTCAATTGGAGCAATGGTCCATCAACTAAAAATCAATTACCATTGGTCCCTCAACTCATCAAAATGTGCAGCTATGGTCTTTCAACTAAAAATTTATTACCCCTCAACTTTAATTCAATTAGAGAAATAGTCCCTCAACTTTAACCCAATTGGAGCAATGGTCCCTCAACTTTAACTCAGTTATAACAATGATCATTCCAACATAACTCATTTTAACAAGATTCTAAAGAAGTTGACGAAAAAGACCATAGCTACACGTTTTGATGAGTTGAAGAACTCCAATTGTAGCAATGATCCTTCCTATATAATTTATTTTGACAAAATTCTAATAAAGTTGACAAAAATGACCATACCTACACATTTTGATCAGTTGACAGACCAATGGTAATGTATTTTTAGTTGAGAGACCATTTCTCTAATTGAGTTA